CTAAATTCCTAGAGGAATGCGGTATTGTCCCACAGTACAATATTTCGGGTTCGTCCACTATGAATGGTGTTGCTGAAAGACGAAACAGAACGCTTAAGGATATGGTAAGGAGTATGATTAGTCACTCTACCTTGCCACAATCGCTCTGGGGCAAAGCACTAAATACTGCAGCGTATATCTTTAATAGAGTTCCAACTAAAGAAACTAATAAGACCCCTTATGAACTTTGGACAGGCAAAAAGCCCAGTCTAAAGAATTTGCACGTTTGGGGGTGCCCAGCTGAGGCTAGGCCTTATAGGCCTAATGAAAAGAAACTGGATGCAAGGACTATTAGTTGTTATTTTGTTGGATATTCTGAACGATCAAGAGGGTATAAGTTTTATGATCCCACAAATAAGTCTATTTTTTAGTCTGGAAATGCTCGGTTCATTGAGGATGTTGAGTTTGAGGGGGGAGATGATGTTAGAGACATTGTCTTTGAAGAGGAATATGTTGATATTCCCATAGGTGTTGTTAGCATTGATCAGTAATATGCTCCTATCACTGTTGAGGACACAAATCAGGACATTGTCAGAGAACCTCATGTTGAACAAATTCTACAACCTCAAGAACCTGTGCCATTAAGAAGATCCATGAGAGAAAGAAGAAACGCAATACCAGATGATTATATTGTTTTTCTCCAAGAAAATGAGGTTAACATTGGAATGATGAAAGATGATTCTATCAACTTTCATCAGGCCATGGAAAGTTCAAATTCTCAAAATTGGATAGATACCATGAATGAGGAGATAAAGTCTATGAGTGACAATGACGCTTGGGAACTCATCCCGTTGCCTGAAGGTATGAAACCCATTGGTTGCAAATGGATATTTAAAACCAAGAGGGATTCAACAGGAAATATGGAAAGATTCAAAGCTCTTCTTGTTGCAAAAGGCTTTACACAGAAAGAAGGCATTGACTACAAAAAGACTTTATCTCCAGTTTCTTCGAATGACTCTTTTAGGATTATGATGGCACTAGTGGCGCATTTTGATCTTGAGTTACATCAGATGGATGTAAAGACAGTGCTTCTAAATGGCGACATTGATGAAACTATTAATATGGTGTAGCTAGAAAACTTTGAGTCCAAAGAGCCAGAGAATATGGTTTGCAAACTTAAGAAATCCATCTATAGGCTCAAGCAGGCATCTAGATAGTGGTATTTTGAGTTTCATCAAGTGATCATCTCGTTTGGTTTTGAGATGAACTTGGTTGATGATTGTATATACCATAAGTTCTATAGGAGTAAGTATATATTTCTGGTTTTGTATGTCGATGACATCTTGCTTGCCAGCAATGATATAGGCTTACTGCACGAAACCAAGAAATTTCTAGCTAAGTATTTTGAGATGAAAGATCTTGGTGACGCCTCTTTTGTGTTAGGGATAGAAATACACCGCGATCACTCTTGGGGTACTTTGTCTTATCACAAAAGGGCTATATCGAAAAGGTTCTCAAAAGGTATGGCATGCAAGACTGCAAACTAGGAGATACCTCTGTTGCTAAGAAAGAAAAGTTTAGTCTCAAACAGTGCCCTAAGAATGATTTTGAGGAAAAGGAAATACAGAAGATTCTTTATGCTTCGGCAGTAGGAAGTCTAATGTATGCCCAAGTGTGTACGCATCCAGATATTGCGTACATTGTGGGTGTGCTTGGCAGATATTTGAGTAAGCCGGGATTAGACCATTGGGAAACAGCCAAAAGGGTCTTGAGGTACTTACAGAAAACAAAGGATTACATGCTCATATATCGGAGGTCGGATCAGCTTGAGGTCGTAGGATATACCGACTTTGATTTTGCTGGATGCCAAGATACTATGAAATCTACTTTAGGCTATATTTTTATGCTAGCTGGAGGAGCTGTGTCTTGGAAGAGTGCTAAACAGTCTATTATAGCCTCTTCTACCATGGCTGCAGAATTTATAGCATGTTATGAGGCGTCCAACCATGGAGTATGTCTTCGAAATTTTGACACGGAGCTGCGCATAGTGGATGACATTGAAAGACCACTTAAATTATTTTGTGACAATAAATCGGATGTTCTGTACTCCAATAACAATAGGAGCTCCTCGAAGTCAAAACATATTGACATTAAGTTCCTAGTTGTTAAAGAATGAGTTCAAAGTGGACAGTTGTCTATTGAACATATCGGAACAAACTCCATGACTGTGGATCCTCTTACTAAGGGGTTGCCACTCAAAATGTTTCATGAGCTTACTGCTCGTATGGGTGTAACGCCTTTGATAGATATTCAGTTTTAGTGGGAGTTTGTAATGTTCTTTGATATAGATACATTTTATGTTACTTATGTCTTATGGATATTTTGAGATTATTTCTGTAGAATTTAAGTTTCGGTTATTTCACACTTTGATTATGGAATATTATTGATCTCATTTAAGTATAAGGTGGACCAAGTTGGAACAGACATGCGATGATCACATTTCATGTAGTTTTCATGCTACACATCCACATCATAATCCATGTCATTCATTTGTATTGACATTGTGACCATTGATGGTCGAGTTGCGATAAATGTAACAAAGGCCGTTTTGATCCTATGTTGATGTGATTGATGGACCAGATTGATTAAAGATACTTTTGGTTATAACAACAAATTTGAGCTCATAAGGTTATTTAACGATACATAATTATAAAGTTACACATATAGCCCAAGTGGGAGATTGTTGGATCCTTAATCCAACATTGGGCTAATATGTGAAATAATTATTGTATTTTGGTTGTTCAAATAAAGAAGCCCAAATAAAAGTGATCAATTAAGCATTAAATTTATTGGGATTTAAAGTATCAATAGGGTGTGGGCCTTTAATGTGTAGAAACTAATGTGTCTTCTCTATTTTAATGATGGGCTAAAATAGAGATGTCCAATGTAACTTAAGGTACATAAAAGTTTGTGGTCCTTAGGTCATACGTAATCGATAGATTACTCATCTGCATCCTATCGACAGAGAGTTTACGGAGAAAAGCTAAAGGGTTCTTTGAAAGGTACACGATCGTATAGACCTAGAAGGACAAATCCCCAAATCAATCATCTATGGATTCAGGTACGCTTCCGCTATTCAGCCTCGATTCTCAATTATTCGATATGAAAGCTCCTGGACTAAAGCGATATATTTCGCCTTAAATTAATTCAACAGTGCTTAGACCATAGCAACCTAGCCTTTTCTCCCTTTAATATTCGAACCGAGAAGAGGTAACCCATCATAGCCTTCTTAGCCTTAGTTTTGGATGTGAATTATGTACATATATATATATATATGTATATGCGTGTGTGTGATTATGTGTGCCTGGTTGTGGGTGTTGATAAACCTCATCGTGTATGTTATTCTCTATAATTGTTTGTCTTGATAATCAATGTATGCATGTAAACCGTTAGCCTATGAGAGGTTCTCACGTTGATGGAGTTTCGACGTTCTCCTATTTTTGCCTATAGGGAGTATTCTACAGTTTATGTAGTTCTGACGGTTTAGCTCTCGTTGATAGTGTCCCAACGGTTTAGATGTGATCACATGAGCGTAGAGTTTTATAGGAGGTTGACTAGGAGATTTGTGTTCATGCTGCGATTATGATTTTAAGTCATTATATTGAATAAACTTCTTGGTGTTCCCACTATGAGCAAGTTGGTCACTCACTCCAACTATTTCTCCCTTTTCAGGTTGAGCTGGTGGCAGCGGCGAAAGACGGGCTAGCGGGGTCATACTTTCCTGTATTTATGAATTGTTTATTTGCTACCGCTTTTGTATTATTGTTGTTAGGATTTTCCAAAACTTGTTAGAATGTTGACTTTGGAAATTTGGATATTGAACTTGGTTAGTATGCATACTTTGGATTATGAATCGAATTGTTAATGTATTGGTTATGTTTTGAATTTATGGTGAAGCATGTTTACTTGTTCGGCTTGAAGTGTGGATCTGGAATGGCTTATTCTCAGTTGCTTAAGTTGGAAATTAAGCTGATTATTTGAAATAAGTTGAGTAATGTCAGTTAAATAAATTTTTAAAACGATTGCAGAAATTTATCTTTGATTTTTTAAAAAAATGTTCGGTATTTTTCATATAAAAATAACGGGACGTCATAGTGTGGTATCAGAGCAGACCTATGGTTTTGTAGACTACTTTTGAAATTGTTTAAGTGTTTATGTCCTCACTTTCGTCCAGCTGCGCCAACTCAAGGTATGAGTTAATTGTTATGTAGTTCTCCAACTGTTTACTTTGGGGCATAGGAATTTATCCTCCTTCTTTTAATATTGTTGAACTTTAGTGTTTGAGGCTTGTGCTAAATCTTCGGCTTATCTTGTGTATAGATATGCCTCCTCGTAGAGCTGTTGATCCACATGCTCAGCAGGCTCCACCCGCACAGGGTGACGATCATGCTCAGATGGTAGCGCAGCTTTGGAATATGCTGCCTCCAACATTTACCAGAGTGGAAGGACCGACGACTTTGATGGAGTGGATTCGTAAGCTGGATCGAATCTTCACCGTGCTCCGAAGCTCAGAGACCCAGCGCATTGACTGTGTCAAATTCCATATGGAGCGCAATGCCTCAGACTGGTGGAGGGATTACTAGGTTTTGGGACCGGGGGATGAGCGTAGCTCCGTCACATGGGCGAGGATGAAGGAGATCATCATAGACAAATATTTCCCACAGAGTTATGGTGACTGCATGCAGCGGGAATTTTAGGACATCCAGCCTGGAGCAACGACTGTTGATGAGTATACCCGAGCTTTTACTCAGATGAGTTCCATCGCTTGACATCTGGTCTATACGAAGGAGAAGAAGGATCCTAAGTCCCGGAACGTACTTCATCAGAATATCCGTGTGTTTGTGGCTAGCCATGAAGACCTGCCATACGCGGAGACCGTGATTAGAGCGCAGCAGATAGAGAGTTGCGTGGCCTCTGCTGCCCTTGTTCTTTCATATCAGCACGTTACCCCGACCACCCAGCTAGCCATCACAGTTCAACCCTCTTCTGGTTCGAACAAGAGAATGAATGACCATCACTCTGATCGCAAGAGGACCAAACACCATGATAATGGCAAACACCCACAGAGAGTTCAACCCATTCGATAGATTCCAGAGTGACAAACACGATGTGGGGCATGTGATAAAGCTCATGCAGCAGGAGATTGCTTTGCGGCCCAGAAGATGTGCTATAATTGCTAGCGACTCGGACATTTTGCCCACATGTGCCCTAAGCCGAGGAGGTAGAACCTCGGACCATTTTGGAAGCAGCAACAACAGCCGAACCAACAGAGGACTAGAGGTCAGGCACGAGTATATGCCCTGACCCATGATGAGACCGCGACGAATACAGATACTATGTCAGACATGTTTTCTATATCTAATGTGCCCGTATTTGCTTTGTGTGACACCGGAGCCACACATTCTTTTTTTCTTCACGATGTTTGGAGGCATTGGGAATCCGGAGTATTAGCAATGCTTTAAAGGTTAGCCTAGCTTCAGGAAAGATGATCACCACTAATACTATGGTGCAGATTTTGAGAGTTAGCATCGGCGGGAGGAGTTTGGAGGCCGACATCTACATCATCGAGATGTCGGACTTCGATGTTATACTTGGCATGAACTGGCTCACTCGATACCGCGTCGACATAAGATGCTTGGATCGAGAGGTGACCCTACATCCCGACGACGGCCAGCCGATCACGTTCTATGGAGTGAAAACAATGACGGTGCCACGATTTATTTCTTCTCTAAAGACGATGCAGAGTTTGTCGAAGGGAAGCTGTCAAGGCTGCTTAGTGAATATCATTGTCGAGGAGAAGAATAATTCATCTCCAGAAAGTGTGTCCATGGATGCGAGTACATGGATGTATTTCCGAAGTCATTGTCGGAGGGACCGCCAGATAGGCAAGTGGAGTTCACCATTGATTTGGTCCCTGGAGCCGGTCCAAACTCGAAGGCACCCTACCGTATGGCACCGAAGGAGCTGCAAGATCTCAAATCATAAATCCAGGAGCTGCTTAACTTCGGTTTCATCTGACCGAGTGTATTGCCATGGGGAGCGCCAGTTCTATTTTTGCAGAAGAAGGATGGGTCGATGCGGATGTGAATTGACTACCAGGAGTTGAACAATCTTCCCATGAAGAATAAGTACCCACTGCCCCGAATCAAGGACCTATTCGACCAATTTAGGGGGGCCATTGTGTTCTCTAAGATCGATCTGAAATCTGGCTACCATCAGCTGAAGATTAGGGAGTCCGACATTTCGAAGACGGCGTTCTGGACTAGGTATGGTCACTATGAATTTGTTGTGATGCCATTCGGGTTGAGAAATTCACTAGTGGTATGTGTGGACCTTATGAGCAGGGTCTTTCATCCGTACCAGGATCAATTTTTCATTGTATTAGTTGATGACATTTTGGTGTATTCGAGAGAAGTCGAATAACACAAGAGGCATTTGAGGATTGTGCTGGTGATACTTCGCAAGGAGAAGTTGTATGGGAAGTTCTCGAAGTGATAGTTCTAGCTAGATCGTGTGGCTTTCCTTGGCCACATTGTGACGACTAGAGGGATTCAGGTAGATCCGAGAACAATCAAGGCGGTGGGCAAGTAGGAAATGCCGAAGAATGCCAGCGACATTCGTAGTTTACTGGGCCTAGCAGGATACTACCGGAGATTCATCGAGGGCTTTTCAAAGATAGCTCAACCAATGACATAGATGACGAGGAAGGTGGTGAAGTTTATTTAGAGTACTCAGTGCGATGCCAATTTTCGAGAGTTGAAGAAGAGACTGACTACCGCACATGTTTTAGCAATTCCCGAT